GAGCAGATAACATATATTATGAACCATGTCATTTTTTTTTTTTCCCACCACTTTTCTCAATTTACTCCCCTCATACTGTTTGTGAGAAAAACCTATGGGGAAAGACTATAAAAAAGAAGAAAAGAGATTTTAAATAACTGATTAAGAGAATAATATAATTTTTAAAGTACAGAGGCCGGTCACAGTGGCTCACACCTATAATCCCAGCACTTTGGGAGGCCAAGGCAGGTGGATCACGAGGTCAAGAGATCGAGACCATCCTGTTCAACATGGTGAAACCCCGTCTCTACTAAAAATACAAAAATTAGCTGGACATGGTGGCGCGCGCCTGTAGTCCCAGCTACTCGGGAGGCTGAAGCAGGAGAATTGCTTGAATCCAGGAGGCGGAGGTTGCGGGAGCAGAGACCGCGCCATTGCACTCCAGTCTGGGTAACAAGCGCAAAACTCCATCTCAAAAATAAATAAATAAATAAAATAAAAAATAAAAATATTAACAGACTAAGGACTAGAGTCAAGGTGTAGTTATTTTGTTTTGTTTTGTTTTTTTCCTTCCCCAAATGTCTGGAAAGGGAATTACTTAGAATTTGTCAGCAAGGATGTTCATCCCATGTCTGACCTCATGCCTGATTTCTCTGCCTGAAGGTTTTTAGGCAGATCAGATTAGCCCCACTGCCTAAGGAAAGCGAAACGCGTTGTGGCTAGTCTACCAAACTTGGGTCTGTTTCCATCTTGCTACCAAGCTACTAGTGAGGCAAGTAGTGTGGTAACGATTTAGTAGTTTTATCAGGTCAGGCGAATGGATTGGGCCAATGGCTTTCCAAGCCTGATTCAAGGAGCCCTGAGCCTCCAGTGAATTTATCCTGAGGTTTCCATATTAAATATAGTTAGTGAGAACTTTCTGTTTGCTTATCATATGTATTAAGTTTCTAGGTAAAATTCCACTGGAAGAAGTTTGAAGCTTCTGGACTTTTTGATCTCTGTGGTACCTTGTAAGATTAAAAAGCATGATCTCTGTGGTACCTTGCAAGAGTAAAAAACATTTTTGTTCCGCCCATAACTTTAAAGGTGTTTCTGCCTTTTCTTTGACAACTGAATCTCAGCCTTACCTCTTGGATGTTCACTTGGGCTTACTAGACTTGGTAAAGCTTCATGGATCATTCCATTACCTGCCAAACAATTGTACTCTTCCAAAAAAAATTGTAAAGAAAATATTTATACTTATATTTGCCCTCAGGCAATCTCCTCATTTTTTGACGTGTATCAAAGTTACCTACTTTGGCTCAAAAACAGCTACACAGAAGCTTTGTAGAGCCATTGATTAGATCTGAAATCCCATAGAAGACAGAGATACTTAGCATTTTCCTGGATTCATCGTATGAATTGCCTAGGGTACACATAATTTTATCTCTTTACACCTCTTACCAAAATACTAGGCACCTTTTTATTAAAATTCTAACCAGAAAGCTTCCTGATCCACTGTGATGTACCGAAATAAATTCAGCTTCATATTCTCCTTTTTATCCCTTTTAAAAAAACTCCTAAGCATGACACCCACATTGCAAAGTCTCCTTCCAGAATTGTCCATATCCTTGGAACTATCAAGTTTATAAATGTCTTAATAGCTTCTTTACTCATTTGTGCCTCAAATTTCTGTCTTGGATTCAGTAGTATAAACATTGCCATTTTTAGAGGCCTATTTGTCAGATATTATCAGAAATTCTGTATAAAATTATCTCATTTATTCCTCAAAACAATCTTTGATATTTGTGCTATTGTTCCTATTTTACCATGAGAGGCCCAGGATAGAAAAGGAAGGCTTTTACACTTAAACACTAAGAAACTGCTTCCAAAATGCTTAGAAATCTTTAGAACTAGGAAGAGTTAAGAAGCCAAGAGGTAACACCTGACTTCATCCATGCCAGCCCAAGAAGCATATTACATCCAAGATCAAGATATTTTCTCCCACTCTTACGAAGGAAACAGTAACCAAGGGAGTCAATGGTGGGCTTAACTCCAGAACGTAGATGGCAGTGGCTTCAAGTGGGTGAGGCATCTCACTGCGACAGAGGCCACATTGAGAAATGATTGGGCATACCAAGAAGGACACAGCAACAGTGACTCAAAAAAGAAGGGCCACACAGGAATAAGCAGTGCCACGTCTTCATGTCTTCTTCCAGTAAAAACAGACAAGAGCCATAGATGAAGGCACTGGAGTCTTTGTATCACTCAGAATTGCTGGAAGGAGGAGAGGTGACTGGGGATAGAAAAATCAGCAAGAGCTTGAAAGAAAGCCCTGTCCCAAACACCCACCTTATGCCTTCTTCTGTCACCTGTGCTCCACCCCTCTCGTTAGGAAGTATCCTGGCTAACATAAAGAGATGGCTGTTGACTTTCAGTTATTGATTTCTCACTCGATCTGGGCAATGATCCTTGATCTAACAGCTCACAATCCTCCCTCCGATCCCCAGTACTGATATGCATTTAGCCTTCGAATTTACCTTCTGAGGATTCATAGAAACATCCCAAAAGCTCTATTATTGGCCAAGGGAAAATCTAACAAAAGCTCTCAGAGTCCCTCCTTGCCCCCAAATGGTTTCAAATGTAACTCAGCATTTAGAGGAATGGTAATAATGGTACTGCACTTTCCCTTTTCTCTGATATATATGTTTCTTATTAACATTATAAGACAAAGTGAAAAAATAAAGACAAAATATCACATCCAATTTTAAAGTAATGGGAAACCACTATTACAAAATCTCTTTTCTGTATCTGATTAAACTAAATCTGATTTTAATCACAACTCACAAAACTGTTTTGATTCCATTCTCAAACATAGAACCCTTTGAGATTTTAGTTATTTTTAAAGTTTCTTAGTAGTGAATCATTAATTAGTGGCTTGGTATTACCAGAGTCAAAACACCTATTTACCATATTTCTTCCAATATACTCTAAAGCTGTGCTTCCTATACAAACCCGTTTGGGATCATTCACAGTCACAGCAGAAAAGCTCTTGTATGTTCTCTGCTGTTCTAACTTGCTTAAGAGAGATTGTTGGGTAGCATTCTATGCTTTAATTCTTCTCTCCTCTGCCTTTCTTAATTAGAACAACGTTTTCCAGGTAGTGGACATTTTGTTACTCTTTTCCGTTAAGCTGTTCGCTTTAGAAAATAAATAGTTTCACAGAGAAAAGCCAGGTCTAGCACCTCCCAGGCTTTCTCCTATCCCCTCTGCTCCCAAAGAGTCTGAAAATTCTTAAAGTAAAAACAACTTTTATTTCAGGAATATTTACATATTTAACCAAACGAACCATTTATTTATAAGATATGTTTATTCAATTTATTCAAGAATTTCTTCTCTGAACCCTCAGATTGGGAGTCCCTGGGAAACCTGAGGCATGACAGTCTACGATGGGAGAAACACAACCCCCAGCATTCCCTAAAGAGGATCCAGACCCGGGAGCTCACTAACATTCCCACTGTAGAGAGACTCACATGCACACAGCACGTCAATCTGAACATTTCCATGAAGGAGGCAGTTCTATCATGGTGGTCAGAGCTCTGGTTTCAAAACCTATTTTTATGCCTGAAATTCTGCCATGAAAGAATGAATTTCCTCTCAAATCTCAGATTCTTTCTTCAAAAGTAAATTTTCTGGGAAGTAACAGAATGATAATATCAAGCTTGAGAAAGAGATATTTATAATTGGGAGGAGAAGCAAGAAGGCAGACAAGCAAGTACATAGAAACGTTTTTCTCTACAACAATTTGGCCACAGGTCAGCACTGATATCCTTAAATCTCTTTCTCATAGACATCCTGGAGAAGTAACTCAGAATTTGTTAAATTCCTGTTTTGCAGCAGATACTATTGTTATGCTAAATTGATAAAGATGAATAAGATTCCTATCTTGAAGGAGTCCATCATCTGTTGTTAGAATCATACATAATAGATGGTTCATAATAAAACACGATAATAACAGCAGAGCACACTTTCTTGGGGTTTACCATGTGCTAGGCATTATTCTCAAGCACTTTACTTTACCTGAATTAACTCATTCAGTCCTCACCACAATCATGTGAAGAATTAGTATTAGTTTTATCTCATTTTATACAGGAGATAACTGAGACACAGAGAAGTTAAGAAATGTTTCCAGCCAGTAAGTCACAAAGCTAGGATATTTTGCAGGCTGTCTCTTGACAGAGCAGGAGCACCGTCATCCTGGACAAACACCACCATTTTAAGTTCTAGCTCCCTTTCTAGCCTCATGCATTTTGAGGAAATCACTTCTTTTCTAAAAACAAGCAGCCAGAAAGAGCAGACAGTAAAACACTGATAAGACAGCTCAAGCACAGAAGGAGGAGGGAAAGTCTCTCGAGTAATCACCAAACTTTACACTCATACAATGGGCCGCAGTAAAACAGTGGGCCCTAATAAGCACATTCCTTTCTCTTTTGATGCACTAAGATAGGGAAGCTAAAAGCAGACTCTGGGGGTATGCCTGAGGCTGCAGGAAGATGTAAGGGAACAGACACAAAAACTCTTCCTCCCAGATAAGCAAGACAAAGAGATAGAAACATTCTGAGCCTGTGAAAAGTTACCATGCCCTGAACCCTTAAATACTCTTAGTTTGTAATGGAGAGCGCTCCTGACCTAACTTGGCCAGAAGACCCTTTCAGGCTTATTCTCACATTTATTTTGGAGACTAAACCTGTCTTTGACTGTTGAGCTGCTTTTAATGTTTCTTTCTTCCTTCTTCAACTCTTACAATTTCCAGTGATCTTTCTTTTAATAATTTCATTACAGCATCAGCATCATAAATTCAGAGAAGCAACGAGAGCATGGAGAAGTGACTGATTGTTTCTGCCTATGGCTATTTGGGAAGGCTTTGCAGGAAAGGTGGGATGTGAGCCGGGCTGTGAGGAATGCATGGGGAAGAGAGTGAATAAAGATCAG